CCCTAAAAACCATTTCCAAAATCTTGTGCTCTGATACCATGTTTGTCACGAACCAAGGCTAGCCCCTAGATGTGACACGGTGTACTCAACCCCAAAGGGGTCTTATACAAGCCTCATAGCTCATTCATTGCATAGATGATAGAAATAGTATGGAATTAAAACTTTTTTATTTAAAACCCTACGATTCAAAACATTTAAACACAAGCGGAAGTCTATATCTCACATGGCCATCTTAGACACAATCTCAAAACATATTTACGGACACGGCCCCTTTACAATCGAAAAGACTACTAAAATGTCCATTAAATTAAGAAATGAAACATAAGAGTTCTGGTCCTCGAATCCATGAGGACAGATCAAGTCTTGGAAGAATCTCAATCCAAGCTTCAACTAGGATAAGCATATCACTTGCCGGAACCTACACTTGTAGTAAAACATAGAAGAAGAATGGGATAGCACAATTAAGTACTAAGTATGATAGCCATGCAAAAAATGCTAAAAATGGACATTTATTTGAAAGTCATGCTTTTATGCCATTTTAGTAAAACTCCATGAACATTGATAAAAGAGGCATGATATAAGTCACAACCAACATACAATACACATTTTCACATTTGAACAAAATCAACATATAAACCCTTACCTTCACCTTAATCCTTCACCTCAAGTAACTCTTAAGCTATACCTTGTGCAATATATGGATAGCGTCCCATACCACCACCCACACTAGGGTACCACCTTAAGGTCACCAAAAGTGAACTTACCATTCATCCTTTCGACCTTTACACAATAAAGCATATAAGAGACATAAACATTACATGAGTCACACCATCACATTAAAACCAACATCTAAGACAACTCTAAGTCATACTTGTGCACTGTGCAAGTAGCATCCCATACTACTACTCACACTAAGTACTCATTTGAAGTCACCATAGACAAGGCACATTCATATACAATAAGTCATGACAAGGAAGTAACTCATAATACAATCCAAGTATAGCATGCATCATTTACATTTAAGCATATAAGAGTCAACATTATTCAATTACTTCATTTAGAGGACTTTCATATATTAGTCATTAAGACTTAGATAACTCCCTAAGACTCTATAAAAGCCTACTCGTGCAATGTATAGATGGAATCCCATACTACCACCTACACTTCATAGAACCTCTCAAGAAACCATAATGCACATCTCACATGATGGGAATAAGCGTTTAACTGACATAGACCATGCAAGCTAAACATAGAATCCGGTGTCATATAGCCCCACACCGTAAAGAGGTGTTCTACTTGCCTAAGGTAGAATGTTAACATTAGCTCAGATGGAATTCGCTAGCTAATATCCTATTTGGGCACATAGTTATGGGATAGAAAGATGTTCCTTGGTACTCTAACCTATCATTGGAAGAGTTTCCATCTAACCATATCCACTCGATGCTTAGCCTACATTCCCATATATTATTTCATTCACATTACATTAGTGTACTAGGGAGGAATGCCTTTTACGTATCAACCAATGATACATTATTACACAAGGAAGAAATGCTATAAGCATATCGATTTATGGTACATTCAAGGATAGCTCTAGAGTCCTCATGAAAGAAAGACATAAGCTTATCGATTGATGGTCCCTCATTACATTCTTATACTCATGAAAGGAATGCCATAACCCTATAGATTCATGGTACATCGACTGATTAAGAAAGAAATGCCATTAGCCTATTGATTCTAGAGTCTTCATCACATTAGATCATTTATGAAAAGAATGCCTTAAGCCTATGAATTCATATCAATCAAGTCAAGACACATTCATTACTCAAATATGAAAGGAATGTCACAGCCTATCGATTAATATTCATCAAGTCAAAACACATTCATTATACAATAAAGGATGCCTAAGCCTACCAATTCAAGTTAGAACATTACATCATAGAAACCCTTCACATTCAATCATCATCATTCATAAGTGTCAATTGAGAATATACTATCAATAATAACACAATTACATTGAATACAGATCATCATTCTATCATTGAAATCACATACATATCCTTCACATCATAATCATACATAGTAATTAAACACCTCCACCTTTCAAGTGGATCAACATCTCTAGCACAATTCTACTTCAACATGTACTTTAATCATAACTTGCCTTCGAGGCTATGAATCTCAAATCATCAACACAACAACAATTTATAATAATTAAAGAGCATAGGTAATGATATAATTCAATAACCCAAAGCAATTTAGACATATTCATATCATAATCTTTCATAATCAACAAACCCACTTCATAAAGGCACCATTTTGGAATTGAGAAAAATCATGGGTTCATAGAGTATTTTTATCATAAATCATCAAGTAAACATCAATTCAATCATTATATGACATTAGTAACCATTTGCAATCGTTTGAAGAAAGACCCATGAGATTGAGTAAAACCCTAGATTTTTCATAGTTTGAAATCACCTTTGAATTGGTTCCTTAAATGGAAAATTAGACAAGGATCAAGACTATCATACCTTTCTATTGATTCCTCACGAAAATCCTTTTAAAACCTTGAAGAATTTGACCTTGAGAGCTTCAAGTCTTCACCTCCAATGGAGATTTCTAGAGAGAGAGCTTTTGATTTTGGGTTTTGAAGTAATGAGATGAAAAATAGAGTTTAATACTCTTAAAATATCTTAATAAACCTAAAATAACCATCCCCCAACTTATTAGGACTTGGGTTGAATTTACCAATCCACCCCTACCAAGGTCAAACCACTTGACAGATTGCAGTTGTGATTTATGCCCTGAACTCACGGACCGTGAGTCCATTAACAGACCTTGTTGTTGGTCCGTGGTCTGGTTCGGCAGCATGTTTTGGGGCCCCTTGACCTAAGGAGGCCATCCATGGGGCGTGGATGGACCTACGAGGTGTGGACCCCTTCCGTAGGTCACCAAATTTTGGCAACTCTTTTGGTTTCAAGGGGTCATGGGTGTTAGGCTTAGGGTTCTCATCAAGTACCCCTAGGGTGGTCCATGGGGAGTTCCACCATGATGTTAAACCCCTAAGCCCCTCAAACAAAGCTCGTGACAACATTAAACAACATCAAACCTCACACCAAACTCAAACACACACCTATTAGGCTCTAGTTTAATTTATTCATTTTTAGGGTCGTTACAAAAATCCCCCATTTGACATTCGTGTCACCCCCTGATTTGAATTGTGTTTTTATTCATAAATGTTTATTTCTTTGGCATTTGAACATATTTACACTTTTCTATTGAATCTTAAACCCGTACCACTCCCTGTGGAATTTGACCCCAACTAAGTTAGTTGGATTAAATACTTAATAACGATCAATAACGCTTAGAATCGAATAAAGTATCTTTGATAACATTATTCAATCAAAATGGTGCTGCTGTCGAGGAGTAGTGTTACTTAGAGTTCTTTGATCGAAGATTTGATTATTGAATTTGTTGGAGGTAGTTGAATTGGCTTAGGTTGCATTGTGTAGTGTTGGTTGGACTACATAGAAGTAAAAATGAGTGAGGAAGAGGTGAATGGTAGTCAAGTAGGTCATCGGGACGGTATCGATGCTATCAATAGGCTTTAGAGCACATCTCAATCAAGTGAAACGGGTGCAATTTGCATACCACAAGCTGATGGGAATGCAATATTTAAGGTCACTAGCACAACTCTTCATCTTCTCCAAATGAGGGGACTCTATGGAGGGCTAGAACACGAAGATCCGCAATAGCATGTAAGAAATTTTACAGAGGTGTGCAGCCCATTTTCATTCAAGAATGTGTCACAAGAGTCCATCCGGCTTCAGTTATTTCCACTATCTTTAACAAGGGAAGCTAGCAAGTGGTTGGGTGAGTTACCGAACAATTCCATCACATCATGGGAGGAGTTTATTATAGCATTCAATGCAAAATTCTTTCCCCCATCAAGTATGATAAAACTTAGAGACGACTTTCAAGGTTTCAAGCGATGGGAGAGTGAACTCATCCATGAAACGTGGGTGAGGTTTAAGAAACTCTTTCTTAAATGCCCAACTCACGGGCTACCAAACGATTTGCTACTCCAATATTTTTACCGGAGTCTTTATTCAGTTACTAAAGGAGTGGTTGATCAATTGGTACGAGGGGAATAATGTTGCAATCATTTGAGGTGGCTTCATTTGTTCGTAATGACATGAGGAAAATAAATCAAGCTTCGTACACTCAAGAGGATCAAGTCTCTTCTTTTTTTTAGAATGACACAAGAACAACTTGATAAGGAAATAGAAAGGGATGCCAACATCAAGAAAATGTTGTCCCAAATGGAGCTATTACAAGAGAATATGATGGATAATGCGGGAAAACCCAAGGGCACAAGTTGAGTGTTTAGAGTTAATGAGGGTTCTTCCTCAGGTTATTCAAAGCAGGGGGAGAATCAAGGTTGGAACTCTAAGAGATACGAAAAGGGTTTCCACCCACGATATTTACAGCGAGGTGGGAATCAAGGTTGGAACTATCACAAGGGGGAAGAGCAAATGAGATACTATCAAGATTGTGCTGAGCAAAGTGACTATTGGAGAATAGAGGATGAACATGGAGAGGACCGCACTAACTCAATTAAGAGCCCAAAATCGAAAGGGAGTGTAAGTAGTCCCCAGGTGAATGATTTACTATCACGCATCCTTGATAAATTTGAAGGTTCGGATGATTTATTGAAAGGGATGAAAGCTGACTTTTCATCATTGAACAATAAAGTGATCTCTCACGCAGATGCAATCAAGATACTTGAAGGTTGGTTGAGTTTACTTTCAGCACAATTGAAACCAAAAATGACAATGAAAGATGATGATAGAGGGCTGGTTGTGGTTACTCGTAGTGGAAAAGTAGCAATAGGCGATGTGATAGGCAATAAAAAAGCTCAAAAGTGTGAAGAAGACAAAGGTATGGAGGAAGAAGAGACATATATCCATCAAAGCATTGCCAAATGACCAAAAAAAGAGATGGAGAAACCCAATCCAATCCCAAAAATTATGCAACCTTTACATAAATTATCTTCCCCATTCCCCCAACGTCTAAAGAAGAAGAATAAGGATGAGAAGTTCAAGAAGTTTTTATCAGTGTTCAAGACATTATCGATTAATCTCCCTCTTGTGGAAGCATTGTTGGAAATGTCGGGTTATGCTAAGTCTTTGAAGAAGTTAGTCACAAAGAAAAGGAGCTTGGATTTTGAGACAATCGAAGTTTCCCATAGTTGTAGTGCAATTATGACTAAGGAGCTGATCAAAAAGAGAGAAGATCCCGGAGCGTTCACCATCCCTTGCTCCATCGGTCTGCTCCAATTTACTAAAGCCTTATGCGATTTGGGAGCAAGCATCAACCTAATGCCATATGCGATCTATAAATAACTCGGGTTGGGGGAACCGAAAGCCACAACAATGAGACTCTTGATGATAGACCGATCAATTAAACATCTTGTGGGGATACTATATGACATCTTGGTAAAGGTTGACCGATTCATTTTCCAGGCTGATTTTGTCATTCTCGATTGTGAAATAGATGCTGAAATTCCCATCATTTTGGGAAGACCATTCTTGGCAACAGAGAGAGCATTGGTGGATGTTGAAAGCGGAGAATTGAAGTTTCGGGTGAACGAAGATAAAGTAACCTTTAATGTTTGTAAGTCTATGAAACACCCAAGTGATATTCACATGGTCTCCACTGTTGATATTAGTGATGAGGCGGTAACTAGTGTGAGCCATTTGACGTGTATGAGTGAACCACTTGAAGTTGTGTTTGCTAACTATGATGAATTCAAAATTCAAGGCTATGAAGAGGTAGTAGCTGCTCTTTCGGGCTTGGGGAGAAGGGGTATTCAAAAACTCCATTGAAGTTGGACATTGATCTAATAAATTGAGAGATTCCTCCCACAAAGTCATCAACAGAAGAACCACCAAACCTGGAGTTAAAAGTATTTCCCTCCCATCTCTGATACGCTTTCTTGGGGGAAAATAACACCTTACCAGTAATCATTGCAGCGGACTTGCTTGAATTACAGGTAAAATTGTTCTTTGAGGGCTTGAGAAGGCATATCAAAGTTATAGGTTGGACTATCGCTGGCATAGTGGACATTCCTCCCGGCATTTGCACTTACAAAATTCAACTTGATAGTGATTGTAAGCCGAGTGTTGAACATCACTGGAGATTGAACCCACCGATGCAAGAGGTGGTGAAAAAGGAGATAATAAAGTGGTTGGACGCAGGTGTGATCTATCCTATTGCGGATAGCAAATGGGTAAGTCTAGTACAATGTGTACCGAAAAAGGGAGGTATCACAGTAGTTCCAAATGAAAAGGGGGAGCTTGTATCTATGAGACCGGTGACCCGATGGAGAGTATGTATGGATTACCAAAAGTTAAATTCGTGGACTAAAAAGGATCACTTTCCCATGTCTTTCATGGATCAAATGCTTGATCGACACTCAAAGAGAGGTTTGTATTGCTTTTTGGATGGGTATTCTGGTTACAACCAAATCTCCATTGCTCTGGAAGACTAAGAAAAAACCACATTCACCTGCCCTTATGGCACTTTTGCCTTTAAAAAGATGTCGTTCGGGTTATGTAATGCTCCGGCAACATTTCAACGTTGCATGTTATCTATTTTTGCGGACATGGTGGAGGATTCAATGGAGGTATTTATGGATGACTTCTCGGTTGTGGGTGACACTTTTGAAGCATGTTTAGAAAACTTAGGACAAGTTCTCTAAAGATGTGTGGAGATAAACTTGGTCCTAAACTGGGAAAAATGCCATTTCATGGTTAAGGAGGGTATAGTTCTTGGTCACAAAGTGTCGCAAAAAGGGCTGGAGGTTGATAAAGTGAAGATTAAATCGATTGAGAAATTACCACCACCAATTTTGGTGAAGGGTGTTCGTAGTTTCTTGGGACATGCCTGTTTTTACCGGAGGTTCATCAAAGACTTCTAAAAGATTGCACATCCTCTATGCAAACTCTTAGAGATGGAGGTGAAATTCCACTTTGATGACGCTTGCATGGTGGCTTTCAAGTGCTTGAAAGAAAAATTGATCTCCACCCCGACCATCATTAGTCCCGATTGGTCAGAATCCTTCAAAGTAATGTGTGATGCAAGCGCCATGGCATTGGATGTTGTATTGGGGCAAAAATGCAACAAACTATTTCACCCCATTTACTACGCAAGCAAGACTCTAAGTAGTGCTCAACATAACTATATCGTTACTGAACAAGAGTTACTTGCGGTAGTTTCTGCGTTTGAGAAGTTACGGGCGTACTTGCTAGGTACTAAAGTGGTTGTTCACACTGATCATGATGCACTGCGTTATCTAATGGCAAAGAAGGATGCCAAGCCAAGATTGATACGGTGGGTGCTACTATTGCAAGAATTTGACTTTGAGGTCAAAGATAGGAGAGGTTGTGAAAATCAAGTGGCTGACCACTTATCAAGATTGGAAAGAAAGGAAAATGACGAGCTGGAGATCGACATAAATGATTTTTTTCCCGATGAACATGTTTTTACGATAACTCTCAAAACCTCCTTGCTTTGCTGATTTTGCCAATTACATAGTGTGTGGATTAATGCTGGACGAACTGAACTTCTACCAACAAAAGAGGTTCTTGCTCGATGTTAAGAGGTACTTTTGGGATGAACCATATTTATTTAAAGAGTGTGCAAACCATATCATTAGGAGATGTGTTCCAGAAGAAAAAGCCATTGAAATTCTCCATGCTTGTCATGCTTCACCGGTTGGGGGTCATCATGGTGGTGTACGTACATCTGCTAAAGTTCTCCAAAGTGGCTACTACTTGTCGTCCCTCTACAAGGATACTCATGAGTTTGTTAAGAAGTGTACTCAATGTCAAAAACAAGGTGGAGTGTCAAAAAGACACGAGTCACCTCTTACGCCCATCTTAGAAGTTGAGTTATTTGATGTTTGGGGAATAGATTTCATGGGCCCATTTGTGAGTTCCATTGGTAAAGTAAATCTTGGTGGTTGTAGATTATGTTTCTAAATGGGTGGAGGTTGTTGCACTCCCAAACAATGAAGGGAAAAGTGTTGTTCAATTCCTGAAACGCTACATCTTTGCTAGATTTGGTACTCCTCGAGCTATTATTAGTGATGGGGGATCCCACTTTTGCAACAAGTGGTTCTCAGCCGCATTAAATAAGTATGGAGTGAAACACAAAGTAGCAACTCCATATCATCCCCCAACGAGCGGCCAAGTTGAAGTGTCAAACCGGGAGATCAAAAACATCTTGTCCAAGATAGTGAATGCTAATAGGGTTGATTGGTCTCGGAAGCATGATGACGTGCTATGGGCATATCACACTGCATACAGAACACCAATCAGTATGTCTCTGTATCAGCTAGTTTTCGATAAATATTGACATCTACTAGTTGAATTGGAACACAAAGCATTATGGGTATTAAAAGCTCTAAATTTGGACTGGACCAAGACTTCAAAAGAGAGAGTAGAGCAGTTAAATGAGTTCGACGAATTCAGGTTCAAGGCTTACGAAAGTTCAGCCTTTTACAAGGAAAAGATGAAGAAATGGCATGATTCTAAAATCCTTAAGAGGTAGTTCAGAGTGGGAGACTGGGTGTTACAATATAACTCTCGACTTAGACTCTTTCCAGGAAAGCTCAAGTCCAAATGGTCAGGGTCGTTTAGAGTGACACGAGTGTTCACAAAAAGGTGTCATTGAAGTTAAAGGTCAAGAAGGACCTACATTCAAGGTGAATGGGCAATGCTTGAAGTTATACTTTGGCGAGTGCCAAGAGATTTCTCTAATTGAGGTGGTGTACCAGGAAGATGTTTGAGAGTATTTCCACGTCGTGCCATGATGTTAAATAAGGCGCTTCTTGGGAGGCAACACAAGTGTTAGTGTTTTAAATAATGTGTGTTGATTTTGCAGATGCGGGATATTGTGCGAGAAGAACACCTTATTGGCTAGTCACCAAAATCGTTTGGTGAGCACGACATAGTTCACCTTATGGACTTCAAAAATAGGGTTGAGATACTGAAACATTTGGCGGGAGACCTTCATCACTCGGTGAATCGCCGATGTGCTTAGGCGATCAGATTTTTCCCGCCATATTTCAGCGCTGACAGCGTAACCCAATGATTATTCGGTGATGTTACAAGTCCATTATGTGACCCACCGACATCTTCAGCAATATCATTCATCTCCGGTGATTCACCCCTTTCTATGAGTTTTGCACACTAGAACTATGGGCGAGACCAAGATCATTCGGCGCACCGCTGAGGCATTCGGCGAGTGGTTTATTTTCTCGCCGACTGGGCGCTGAGTGAAGATTCTTCATCACCTTGCTCTGCATGCTTACATACTAGAATTTTATCTTTATTTGCTAGTTTTAATTTTTATTCTTATTTTATTTGCAGGAATGTCCGTTCTCTACTCACATTGGGGACAATGGTGAAGGCTTTTGGTGGGGGTGTCTGGTTAGTGAATTCCTCTATGTTCTTGGACCCATTTTTTCCACCTCTTGATTGTGTTTAATTGTGGTTGTTCTTGTACAAATTTGAGTGTTAGTTGTGATCAATACCGATGCCTTGAATAGTGCTCTCAATCGAACAAAAATGAATGTGCAGCTATGATAAGGCCAAATAAAGTTGCATAGATAATATGTGGACTTTTTGCATCTCATTGTGACTAGTCGATTATCGAATTGAGTCTCTTGTGATGAGCATTGTACACTAGTGAAAGTATGGAGTCTTGCTTGATATTGATGACAATTCCTTGTGTGATGAGCTTATCGTGAACCATGTGTGATGACACCTAGAATTTTCCCCGTTGGTCCGGTTGACTAAATGATGCAAGCTCTTGAAATGATATTAGGCAAAAAAATTAAAGAGTGAAACAAATTGACATTATACCTCTTTTGTGGCCTACCTTGTGAGTGTGTGAACTTTGCTTGAACACCCTTTGAGCCTTGAGCATATGAAACCTCTTTTTATCCCCTTTACCCATAATCCTCATGAAGTGTGGTTTGTTTGAATAACCAACTTAAGACAAAAGCTTAAGTTGGGGGTATGGTGAAAGAAAAAGGCAAATCAAGAAATGTGAAGAAATTCCCCTTTACCCATGGTTTTGAAAAAGATGGAACCCCTTCACACAAAAAAAAAGGAAGACGAAGAAAACAAAAGAAGAAGAAAAAAAGAAAGAGAATGAAAAAGTTTTGAAATAAAGTTGTGAAAGTGCAAAAGAAATGGGGTGTCCGGTATTCCATGGAAAGTGAGTAATGGGGTAAATTTTGAGCATGAATGAGAATGATGAAGAAAAGGAAAGAAAGTATTGTTCATACCACATTTCATGAGAATAAGAAACCATTGAGCCTTAATGACCATACATTTACACTCAGCCCTGTTACAAGCCTTAAAAAGACCTTTTTGATCATGAGTGAGCTGAAACAAATGTTGATTAGAAAATAAGGGCAAACCTATGGGTGGAGTTATGCATGTGTTCATCCTTGTGAGCGTGAGAGTTGTTTGTGATTCCGGAGCCATAAATTGTTGAACAATTGTGTGTGAATATGGAATCATTCTTTATGTGAGGACATTTGAGTACCTTTGTTGAGCTTGAACTTGCATTTAAAGCAAGTATTGTGAGCTCGAGATTCTTTGGTAATGGTGAGTCACAACTGGAGTCTTTGAGTGCACAACTGATCCTTGCATGAGTAAGTTGAGTCTTGTTATGTGCATTCATGATTAAGTCTTGTGTAGCACTGATTGAGATATCCTTTTTGAACTGCTGAACTTGAGATTTACTTAAGGACAAGAAAAATTTTAAGTTTGGGGTGTTAATGAGTCAGAGATTTGAACTCATTTAGAGCTTTAATTATATAGATTTATTGTCCTCAAATGTTTATTTTGTGCCAACAACTGATGTAAAACCATTGATCTTCAGATACATGGATTGAGGAAAAAAGCTAGTACAGAAATGGCCAATAGATACAACACGAGCAAAAAAAAGAAGGGAAAACAAGCCTGATGATCGCCGATATCACTCGGCGACTCACCAAGTTGCCAATCTACCGCCAAAAGTTACAGAACACTGAGGTTGAATTAGAGGTAGCTTCGGCAAACAGTAGTTCCACTCGGCGTGTTACCGATTACTTCGGTGATGGATGACCAGGTCGCCAAAAGTACTGATGGAGATGCAGATAAGTGCAGATGGGTGAGATGAAAGGAACAAGGGCACATCGCGAAATCACTCGACGTTCCCAATTTGGCTCACCTAAAATTACAATGGATGGACTAAGAAGAGGTGAAAAATGAAGGCTAGATGACGGAAAATCGGCAAGTCACCGAATGGTCGGTGAAGCTCGACTTACCTCGCCGATTGCTCCTAAATAGCCACACATCAGACTTGCATAAATTGAGTTTTCTAAGAGAGAGAAGGTTCTTAGAAACGTAAGGAACAAAAGATTAAGAGCGAAAACACTACCATTGTTGATTTCAAGTGATTTTAGCAAGGTTTTTCATTGAGAATTTGTAATAGAGAAGATTTTAGTTGATTTTAACTTTCGAATTTTACTTACCCAGCTATGAAAAACGTGGTAGGTGTTGATTTTCATCTTTTCTCCATGATTGGCTAAAACCCTAACCTTGGGGGTTTGACAATGTGACCAATTGTTACATTCTACTAAATGAGTGTGATCGATTAGTGATTGTTGGTGTTAATATGAAGCGGGTCTAAATTATTATGGTGGTTTAAATTCATTATTGCATCTTTTGTATGATATATTTCAGAGTTTTGTGCTTGCTCGAGAGAGAAGTACGGAACCAACATAGTAATTTGGCATTCTTAGTAGTGAGTCTTGACGGTTTCAGCTTGAGAAAGTGAAACCCAAGACCCAACCTTATAACTAGCTCGAAAGAGTAGATTTGATGAGAACGTGGGTTGTTTATCTTATGGATAGTGTTGAGATTCGAGAGAACTCAACGAAAATAAAGCAATTGTTCGAAAGAAAGTTGTTTTACTTATAGTCCATTGTACCAGCGATGAATTAGCATTATCGGTAATGATGTACACCCATTAAGTTGAATTCGATAGTTGGTTCGTCAATTCCCCAAGTGTGTTCTAATTATCTGATTGTTACTTGTTAATACTTTGAAGTGTGGTGGTAACGACATCCTGAAAAGTTGATTATTAAACTCTTAAGTGTGTGTTGCTCAGCTGCAAAGGTCATCATCATACTTTCGTATTTGAATTCAAAGAAAGCTACTCTCTGTGGGAACGACCCGAACTCAGTTGGTTGGGTTATATACTGACTAACGATCGTTGACACTTAGAATTGTATGAAGTGTCTTTGAAACGTTAATCATTATCTCTTATGCTTATAGCCTACGTCTTATGATGATGTCTATTATGTTTATGACTCATGTTATCGTCTCTTATAATTATGGTATATGTCTTATGTTGACTAATAAGGCCTCTTATATGCTTATGTTGATGATTTACACTAGCCATCATATTTAGTACATTATTGTACTAATGCATATTTTTGCCTACATTCTTATCAAATGTAGGGCTTGGCGATATTGAGTTCCATTTCCGTGGCTAGGTTCCTAGTAGAGCAAGGAGTTGAAGACTTGGTGAGTCCTCATAGCATCGAGGATTTGCGCACCTTTATTTTATGTCTTTCCTTTTTTTTTAGACATTTATATGGGCTGCGTCGCAAGAGAGTTATTGAAGTTGTTTTTAGATGGTTTTAGACAAAGTGTTATAGACTTCCTCTTGCTTTTATAAAAGACTTTGATTGAATGGAAAAAGTTTTGAAATTTCCTCATCATTTCTATTTACTTTATGTTATGATATTCTAAGTGGCCTGTGTTAGGCCTTTCGGGTCTAGTACGCCATGTTACATCTAGGGTGTACCCCTGGGTCGTGACAAACTTGGTAATCAGAGCACAAGGTTTAGAATGATTCTAGGATTGTCTCAAAATCATGTCTAGTAGAATCTTGTTCATAAGTGTGAAGCGCGCCACATTTATGATTATGAAGCTATTAGATGATTAGGAAATTTCACTTCTTCATTCTCTAAGTCCTTTCTAGGGTTTAACTCTATAAGGTATTTCTTCTTATCCGATGGTCTTCAAGATATGACTCCTCAAAGGGCTCATGCTACAAGGAGCGAGACACAAAAGGTTGGTTGTGAGGCCAATTATGGCTATGTGACTAGATACGACTTGATATGTTAGATTTATATGTCATCCTTAGGATGGATTGGTAGAATTATTGTATGCTCCTATGTGATTGTAGAACCCGTATAGTCAAAATTGTTAGTTCCCGAATGAGCTTATCCGTGAGTGGAAGGGGGGGAGTTTGTGTTCTAAGTTTAAGTTCTATTTTGTCTTGAAAATGACTTTAAGGGTTGCATGTACCACCTAGTTAAGGTAAGGGAGAAGAATTCAAGTGTTGACCAACTTCAAATAGTTAGTTATCTTTTAAGATTGATCTTAAGTATGGTCGTTTTGCGCAGGGTGTGCAGATAATACCTAGATATGATTGGTTGGTAAATCCCACCAAAGGTGATGATATGGGTTTAAATGGTTTAGAATTTTCTTGATCCAACCCTAGTAGAATTAAAAGAGACATGAAGGTGGATGTTTGGCCGGCAAAGAGGTTGTTTTAATTGTGGTGAAAGTGGTCACAAAATGAGGGATTGTCCAAAGGCAAAGGCTATGAGAAGAGAGGGTAAGAAAGTTCCTCCTAATGGTTCTGGTATGTGTTTTATGCTTTATTACATTCTTGTATTACTTGTCTTTTGTGACTTGATAAATTAGACTTTGAAGTTGTCGTTACTATGTATGGGATTCATTGTTGTTATAAGCTATTGATAGTAGAACCCTACTTGGTCATTTTGAATTTTGGGTAGGTTGAAATGTTTGATGAATAGGGTGTTTAAGTAATGCCTATATGTGTTGAGTAAGTAGACTCCCATGAGAGGTAGTAGTATAGTTCACCATGGTTTAGATCCATCTTATGTGATAAAGGTGAAAGCGTAGTGATGACTTGCTGCGACCTTAGAACTGAAAGAAATGATGTTAGAAGAGTTCGCATAGGCTTATTCCTAAGGGGGAGATGATGTTCTTAGATAGCAAGGTCGTTGAGTGTTCTTGATGTTCATGATTTGGGTTGGCTTGGAAATTCTTACCTTGAGGGGTGTAGTGAGTTTGGGAAGTTTAGTCCCGATTTTATAGGCTCATGTGAGATCTTGAGTGGAGTTGGCAAGGTTGATTATGAACTAGAGTTGCTTAATGAGTGACACCAGTGTGTCCGGTTTTCCATGTCTCTTGGATATAGAAGGGTGTTGGAAGTCCAAAATTCATAAATTCCTTAAGAAGAGCCGGGAGTTAATGAGAATATCTCTAATTTAGAAATATCGATAGGGATCTATAACACCCCGGAAACAAGTAGGCTAAACTAGAGCTTGACGTTAGGGTAAGAGTCTTATATGTACCTCCCCATACCTAAAAATATAGGGTTTCATGTTA